ACGACTGCTGGAAATTGATGGCACAGCTTCCTCATGAAACACATGAGAACTAGTGAAAGGCCTAAAGCTGGGAATGAAGACAGTGTAGCACTTCAGATTTCAAGGCAAAAAAGAGCATCAATGATTGGGGGTGGGGTGGGGAGGGGAGGGGACTGCTGGTCTAAGTCCTTAAAGCAACCACACCATTTCCCAGGATTTTAGGGCTGCCCTGTGCTGCTATGCACTTGTGAGAAAAGAGATACATTGGGTTTAAGGGGTTGCAGACAGATGCTACTTTCATTCCAATGGACCTTTTTGCAGCACTGCAGAGTCTTATTGGCTATACCACAATAAAGAACCAGGAGAAAAACACAAATGTCTCCCCCATTAGCCCCACCCAAATCTGTATGGTTCAAGTGAGTAACAGTTAAGATGTCTTTAAAGAGATCCAGGACTTGAGATTGGATCAAGTCCTGGACTTGAGATCACTGGATATGGAATTAATTAGTTAACTTTGGTGACAACTTTGGGTTTATTTGGTCAGAAGTGACATAATTTCTCCTAAGTGTATTCCAGCAATAAATAAACTCAGTCTCACTGTCACCATACCAAAATGATAAATGTTGGAGTTGTTATACTAGTCTTCTGTTTTCCCAGAAGCTTACAGTAGTCTCTGAAGCTTGGGAAGGGGCTGTTATGTTTTCTCATTTAGTCAGAGGCACAGTTGTGTACAAATAACTAAAACTTAGTTTAACAATAACATTATATTAACAGAAAGGATATGATATCAGCCGTTTCCATTGAGAAGGATGGAATTCAGTGGACTTTTTCACAAGGGCCTCTTTTCTATGTACACCAGAGGTGTCCACAAGGTATAAAAGTCAAGATGGCAGCTGTAATGTACAATCGAAGCTATGCACACACGACACACTAAAAACAGGCACCACAGCCACCATCTTTACTTTTTGACCATGCCCTGCAGACACCCTGATATACTCTGCTGGTCCTCTTTTTCTTTTCTTTCTCTCTTTTACTCAGCCTAGCTACTCTTCTGACATCTCTCTCACCATCCAGGTTTAGATTTTTGCCCCCTTCGTTAGAAGGGAGGGCTCTGACAACAACTTATTTAAGGAGAATGCAGAGAACCTCCCATTTCCTCTCAGTGACTTTCAGCTGGTCAGCCAACTTTCCCTTGAGATTATTGGTGTGGGAGTAAAATGATGGGAGACTATGTGTACTACCTTGGGCTCTCAAGAGAAAAGGCAGAATATCCATGTAAACACCAAAAATGTTAAATGCAGCCCATGGCCATCAAAAGACCATTCACTTCTAGGACAGATGGACAACCTTTGGAGACAATCCTTGGCATCATACCTATGAAAATGGCATCTATGAGAGTCTTGCTGCTTCATATGTAGGGGAACATTTTGTGTGGATTTCAGGCAGAGTAAATACTTCCTTAAGTACAGATAAATCCCCAGAAAATTATTTCCCTTATGGCAGAAGGAAAAAATAGCAGAAATCCACATGGTAAGACAGGCTTATGAGATCAGCCATAAGCTCTAGATAACTCATGTAAACCAGTTTAGTCCTCCCATCTGTGTGGAACTGAATTGTAATACTGTAGTAAAGACACAACATACCACTGTAAATTTCTATTTGATATATGCAGCTGGTGCTTTCCTACCTCTGACTATTGCATCCTTCTATTTATAAGATCTGAAAAAAAGTTTTGCTGGCTTTAATGATCAGTTTTCTTTCATTGTTTTTTCCTTTCTTTATGGCTAGATGGAAATATTTTGCTATTTTAAAAAATGATAACCAATAAAGCAGCAGTTAGAGCTCCCCTACCAGAATGAAAACTGTATAGAAATTATTATGCGCCCTCCTCCTCAGCCGTGTATCCTAAGGGGAAATTGATGTGTTTAAAAATGTATACTGTATTTTTTTCCAAACATGTAAATATATACAAAGCATATGTATTGGAAAAAATGTTTGGAAAAAAACATTATAGCATCAGTGGTTTCTCTTCTAATATCAATGTAAAAAAGCTGCTCCAAGTTAATTTCAGGCATTCCACAGAAGGATAGTGCCAGTTCAAAAGCAGCTTGTGGCATCTGTGATTTCATGGTATTGGCTAAATCCAATATCTTCATTAATTTCCGGCTCAGCTGCATATAACTGACATTTCTTTCTTTCTTCTATTTGCAAAGCAGAGCTTTGCAGAGCTTGCAGTCGAGGGAAGATTTTCCACTGAAGGGAACTCACCTCCTCCAAGGTCTTAAGCTTCTACCACCCTTTACAGGTCCTTTAAGGGGAATAGAGGCTTAATTTAGCAGGGGTGAAAATGACAAGATTTCTGTTTCCCCCTTCTCTTCTGAAAGCGATGAACAGGCATGCAAAGTGGGATTTTTTTACTTTTTTCTCTCTTTTGTGTAGAGTGGTGTGGGAAAGGTTTTGGTTATTCTACTGGAATGGAAACAACAGATGAACCATTATAACAAATTCTAATTCCCAGAGTGTAAAACATAATTCATTTTGTTTAGAATTTATCCACCCCCTTCCCTATTTCAGCCTACAAGTGTGATAAGAAGCACTGGGAAAAGTATCTTGTTGATGACACTGTATTGCTCCACCTTTTCAACTCTTGATAGGTTTTTAAATATGGGAATTACTGGTTGTATTAAGTCTTTGGTTATATCTTTTGATATGTTGATTGACAGGATTTGAGTCTATATGTATGTGTTAGGTCTATAGATACTATCTGTTAGTCTATAGGTACTATCTATAGACCTATCAAAGATATAACCAAAGGCTTCATTCACATATAAATTAACTGCCACCTGCAGAACTGCCCAACCCACAGTACATAACCAATATTATAAACTGATATATATATATATAGCCTTTGCCAGCTAAAGAACCTCACTTCCTCACATCTCTTCCATCAGTGTTATTATGGTGATAAAACATATACAACCAAAAAACATAGCTGAGAGAACTCTGACAATATAGTAATTCAAAATGCTAATTGTTTGAGACTTGTTTAAAGGCCTACATTTTTTACAAGAAAGATAACTAAAGATCTATCTCCATTTATATCAGTTTATTCACTGTCAGGTGTTGATACTCTTCCTGTTGATCCATATGAGGAACTACAATGAGCTATAGCAAGAATTGGGGCTTTCTTTATGCAGATAGTCTTTCGGTCTACCTAAAGCATATTTGCTGCCATTCTATTTTGAGAATTTTGATTGTTGTAAGCATTCTTGATTATATGTATTTGAAGAGCAGGATCAAAACCATAGAAATACTGTGGGTAATTAAGGCAGCAAAACCCTGTTATTCAGTAACTTTGAGACTGAAGATTGATTGATTGATTTAGGAATTCTGGGCTACAATGAGCTATGTTAATGAAGATTGAATCAAAGTTTGGCATCAATAGAGTGAGGAGCTAGCAAGTTGCCTAAGAGGCGAATTAGTACAGATCAGAGATGGAGCAGATAAAACTCTACAAATAGTAGTTTAAGATGCAGTATGCTTGGTTGGTAATAAACAATAGTAAGTGGTTTTTGTTAACACAGATCCCTGCAGTGTTAGGACCTTTTTAGTTAGGTACTATCAAAATGTTTGGATTTCAATTCCCATCAAAGCCAGTAGCAAGGGACTATTGCATTTTTGTTCAGAAATATTTGTAGGACATCTATAGTAGGACTATTAAGACTATCTTTTTTCCCCAAGAGGGGTGACACGTCGTGCATTCTTTGAAGAAAAAGCCTGTATCACAATAAATATTAACGGATTCTGCAATGAACTCAGGAAGGTATACAAAACCATGGGTTCTCGTTATGGTAGAGGAATTAGGATCTAAAATCCTTCTAACAGTTTGTACATATTTTCCATAGAAATTAGCATATAGCATAGGCATAGGCAGACCAGTTATTGGGAATGTTGTGTAATAGGAATGCAGTTCACACATGGGATTACCTTGCACAGGATTCCCTCCCCCCTTCACAACATTCTCGTTTCTTTCATCATGTTCAGTTTACTTCATTATCTCTAGTGACACCCTGTGGTTACAGAGGACGCTCCAGTTATGTGGATGAGATTAAAAAGTGATCCTTTATACTGGGTATGATGTTGGCATAAGAATATCAGTATATAAAGAGCTCTAACTTACTTTGTAAAGCAAAAAGGGGACAGCCTCCCTTCACCCCATGTAATTTATTGTACTAGCAAATGTACTTTTTAGAAAATAAAATCAGGCATTGAGGACAGGAGGGCTGAGACATAAATTTGGGTTCCTGATTCCAATTCATTTCTGTTGTTTATAACTCTACTGGTTTGTTGTTTCTTTATTTTGTTGCTTGCTTATTGTACGCAGCCCAGAATCATAGTTGTTTCACTTGGGAGGCTGTATAAATTTATCAATCAGTCAATCAAGAACGCTAAGCTTTGTATCACTGTTTGCAAATAATTAAATAAATTATTTTATTAGGTCTGAATTCTTCACACACACACACACACACACCCCTACATATAAAATTCAGACCTAATGACATTTGTGCATACTTGACATGCGAGGTTAATTATTTAATTATTTGCAAACGGTGATACAAAGCTTAGTGTTCTCAATTAAAAAACACAGCTTGCAATTGGTTTAATATCAATGTATGGTTATTAGTAAGTCATATGGCACCAAACATTAATAAAAGAAAGCTATATGAAGAGTGATTAAAAATGAAAACATTCACTATATACTGTATTGGTAATATTATCAGGTTTAGTAAGTAACTCATGCTTTTTGCCTTATATGCACACATACATCCACAGTACACTGTATGTACCCTATCTTGTATCATAATAAATTATAGGTAGTTGTTATTTAAAGAGACATAATTTTGTGTTAAGACCCTTCTACTGCCTGAAGTGCATACTGGTTGACATCTGCAATGTTCTAAGTTTCTTCTGTTAAAAAAAGAGACAGTTACTCAGTTGTTTAAAACAATGTGTATGTTTTATTAGATTTTCATATGAAAATTAAAATAGTCACACATGTAAGTGTTTAATAAATTAAACATTCCTTGAAATGGGAGTCAAGTTTCTGATATCACTTTTGTATAAGACGAACAATTCTTTTAAAAGATTAATGTTTACTCTCCAAAATTTATTTAGCAAGCCATAAACCAAAAAATATACAACTTATCATGCAAGTATGCTGTGTGCTTACTACTGAAGTACCAACCTATTGTTCAGCAAGCACTGTAAGGATGGAGGAATCTCTGTTGTTTAAGACCTTTCTGCCAAGACATAACTGCTACTACAGTACTCTTGATCTCTTACCTGTCCCACCTACTTGCATTTTTTGCAGCTGTTGGGATAAGAATTTACTTCTGTATGCTACGGTATCAGTGACCATAACAAAGACCAGCACAGAGTAAACTCATTTTTCCTGCAGAAAATGTGTGTCCTTTTCCCCCCCTTCATATTACCAGGAGATAAGTAAGTCTGTTTTTAAAACCTAGAATCCCCAATGAATTTCTGATATGCCTTTTTGGCAGTGTACTTCTTTAAAGACACTGGAGAAGGAAGGAATTGGCTATTCTGAAGTAGTATTTAATTGCTAGGGAAATTTGCTGAAATTTCCGATCTGAATTCCAAAATATGTTAAGCTATATTTTGTTTTATATGTTATATTTTAGCCATTTTTATGTCAAACAAATTAGAAATGAACAATGTAACCACAAATTATTTAGTCAATTCTTGATTCATTTTCCTTCCCCCTTTTCAGCAATTATTGGTTTGAACCTCTTGGTTGGGAGGGTTGTGCAAGACACGTGAGAATCCAAGAATAAGCAGGATATCACAAAGAAAGAAATCAGTCTCCCTGTCTGCAGATCACACAAAGACTTGGTTGCAATCAATAAGCCAACAACCATGGTTTCAAAATAAGGATTGCCCCAAAATAAGCCATGGTTTATTCACTGATCCAGTTCATCTCACAAAGCTAAAAATAAACCCCATTTTGCCTTAGCAAGATCTGTGAAACCAGCAACACTGTCTAGAAAGTTAAAACTCAGAACAAGTTGAGGCCAGCAAAGGTTGCCAAGAGTAATCCAAAAGTCTTTTCAGATACTTCGATTAATAAAAATGGTGTAATGTTAACAAGTAACAAAGAAAGCATATCTGCTGAGCTCCTATGGTTGCCTCTGCCAAAAACTAACATCCTAAAACAATGTGAATGTTGAGGAAACAATATTGTAAAGACTGATGAAGAGTTAGCCTGAAAATATTTAACTTTAAATGAGTTAATGTCTTCAGGAGTAGATTGTGTCCTAGGTATTCTTTAATACCTGATGTTTTTCTGAGTTCCCTGATGGGCTCTCAGAATTTTGGTCTATCACACTGAAAAATCCTGGTGAATATATGAGGGGCACTGGAATGGAGGCAACAGAAGTCCTAATCTTTAAAAAGGGAAAAGTGGAAGATCTAAAACTATAGATTAGCAAATCTAACTGATATTGAGGAAGAACAATTCATCAGTTTGAAGGATCTGAGTAATGCACAATTAGTAGAGACCAGCATGGAATTTGCATAAATAAATCCTGCCAGACTAATCTCTTTTTTTTTTTCCAGAAAAATGCTGTGAATTTAAACAATATAATGTAAATTATTTATATTTTAGTCAAATCCCATTTTGGTTGGGAAATTGGTTAAACAAAGACTGGGTGTTAATCTATGTAAAGACAATAATCAAAATATTCTCAAATTGTAACTCACTGAACTAGATTTTCTATGCTAGTGAAATGCTACAAGATTCTACTTCTAGTACTATTCCGTAATTGTTATCTATGGGTTAGATGACAGCATGGATGGAATCTTTATCAGTCTTGTAGAAGATCTGAAAACTGGAAGGCATAGCCAGGTTACTTTGATACAATGCTAAACCAGATTAAATCAAAATGAAATCCAACAGTTTTGCATTTAAGCAAATACACAGGACAGATTTGTAAAGGAACTTAGGTGATAGTTGATCAGAAACTGAGTATACAACAGTAGCAACTGTAAAAGATTCCACTTCATCTTATGCCTCATCTAGAATACTATATCCAGTTTGAGGAGATGTAGTCTAAGAAAAATGTAGATTGAAATGGGTCAACAGAGAGTAAAAAAAGTTACCAAGAGTTTGGAAAATAAGTTCTACAAGAAAAGGCTGAGGACACTGAATGTGTTTAGTGTCCAGGTAACTACACTTGATCTTAGCCAAAAGGCTGAGAAGCATTTAGTGTTCACATAACTGATGATGGCATGATAGCACTTTTCAAACACCTGAAAGTTCTCAAACAGAAAAGAGCAAGAATTTAACCAGGACAAAGCTAAGTTGCAGGAAGATAGATTGCTATTAAGCAGTATAAAAAAATGAATGCAAGAATTCTTAAACAATGGCCTAGCCTTACCTTTCTTTCTGAGATCTGTAAGAGGAGAACAGACGTGTGTTGCAGATGCTCAAAGTCTGAATTTCACAGGAAAAGTATATTAGCTTAAATTTTAGATATGCTACAAGCCCCTCTCTAAATCCAGGATTCCAAGATTGTGTGGAAGACTATAATGATATATGGTATACTCAGCCCAAAGTCTCCCCCCAACATACTAAGTTTAAAACTCTTAATCAAGTTGTAGGTAAATTAATTTTACATGGCTTCTTTTATTCTATTTTTAAACATGATTCATATTTCCAAAAACTACACATTCAAAATTAGAAATAAGGACTTACACTTTTGCATGCCTTTTAAAATATACAAAGAAATGTATATGCTACAAGTTAAAAACCACACACCACTACAAATTGAGATCCAAGACCCAATTCTGAATCAAGTTCTAAGCACCTTTAGTCATCTTTTAAATTTAAGCCCATTCAAGGTATTGCTGGTATTCTAAAGGAGCCAAAATGCTCTGAGTAAAGTTTGAAAGTCTATCACTGAGCATTTTGTATTCAATAGCAAACATACAGAGTGATAAGTACCAGGAAATTGATTCTAATATCAGTAGATTAGTTCTACTGATAGTTTAGTCATCATATCATTTTAAAAAACTACTCTTGTGTAATGATATTACAAACCAGTCTCAAGTACACGGATTTGGAAGAAAGTTCCAACTAGTACCGATATAAATTATTTGTATGTATGTTTATTTACAAATAGGTTAAAACATTGTTACCAAAGTTAACCATTTATTCTGAAAATGGTACATTTTATTACTTTTTAACTTGCACATTATTTTGGCAGCTGTAAGTTACTGAATCTTTCATATTTCTTATTCACAATTACTCCAAATCTATACATTTTTCCATTTTCTAAATCAGAACTTCTGTATTAGTAAATCTGTTCAGTTCTGTACTATTGTTCTATCAACTGAAATACTTATCTTTATAAATTTTAATGCAACCAGGGCACCAGGGAATAAACATTAGTTCAGAATTAAACAAACATCAGTGCCACCTCCCTTCTTTTAGCTTCTGTATCAGAAGATAAAGAACTCCCTAGAGTGGAAAATAAAAATCTTTTGTCAGCATAGACACAATACATGGAATCTGCTTCTTTCCATGGAAGTCAGCTCTGTTTGAATAAGAACTGAATTCTGCAACTTTGCGATTTACACGTGTTAGGATCTGCATAAGTTCAAGTTTCTTAGCATATTGTTTCAACATCACACACAATGATTGTATAAACCAGGAACCCTCTGAGGAATTCCTCCATGAGTAGTAGCCTAAGAGAAATTAAAATGTATCAGATATTATATTGTTCAAGCAGTAATTATACAAGCCAGCCATAGGATTTGCTCTCCACAATATTAAGCAATTATCAAAACTAACAGCATAGAATTCAATGAAGGCATCTAAAACAGTATTCTAATGTTTAATGCATTTGGTCACATTCTACCCAAAATTATTTATCTGACATATCTCATTCTCCTCCCCACCAATTCTTCCAAGTATATTTACTCAGGAGAAATGGAAGAGTGAAAGAAATAACCCCCATTTATTTCATCAAAGAATTCCATAATAGACTAATCATTCTATTGATCAGAAAAATCAGTGATCATGAAATCCTTCATAGCATGATGCCTTTCCCAGTTGTATCTTGGTCTGAAGCTTAAAACAGAAATTGATCTGGAGAACCTTCCAGAAAAAATCTGGAAAGACAAAAGACTGGACAGAATGAGGATAAAATCCTCTCCAAAAAAATATGGTTGAACACTAAAATGCTGTACAAGGGCATGATTCAAATGTACTGGGTCCTTTACCTTATCTAACAGACATGATACAGTGTTGGTCCTACCAACCAGAATAAGGTAAGGCAAGAAAATTGGTGGTGTTGGTGAGAATCCTCTTTATGTATTGATCAGAGGTTGACATACACTTTGCTCATGTCAACAGTGCTAACCAATTTTTTCTTACAGAGGGAGAAAAATCTGCTCCCTTCTTGTGGATTGAGATGAAGTTTGATAAAGGCAGCATCTATCCTGAGTAGATTGTGAGGGTTATGGATCAACAGGGAAGATCACTGGAGGAAGTGTCAGAACAGGAGGCCATATCACATTATATAATTTAGTTCTGGCAATGTGTCTAACAGCTAGAGAATCTTGCATTTGTGACAATGAGAAAATCCTTGAATAATACAAGTTGGGTTATTGCAGAGGATTGTGTTGATGTACACCCTTTGCTGAACATTCCCTACTACAAGAGTGAGTGCTTTACTATGTATTTATTACTGGGCCTATTTATAATGTCAGATGACAATACTGAATCTGTGGGGGGATCTTCTCTAAGCACATTAGGTCATAATACTTTAAATGTAGTCTAGCCTGGACTTGACATAACATTTATTTAATCTACCACTGTCTGAATTGTTACTTGTTCATAATTACAGTTTTGATGGAGCAGGTATGACTTTTGGGGAAACTAAGGTCCTCCAGGCAATTTAAGTTTGTGATGACAATCTTCCCTACTAAGGGTGGATTAAGATGCGGTTTGTCCAAATGTGAACACAGATGAGTGCTCTGAAACTGAAGGACTGTCCAATGAAGAATATCAGAACAGGCCTGATAGTAACCAAACTTCAGGTAACATTTTTGAAGTGGATGGAAGTACAGCAGTACCTCGGGTCACAAACACTTCTGTTCGCGACCAATTCGGGTCACGAACAGCACCGTTCGCAAAATTTTGCTTCTGTTCGCAAACGCCGGATCGGGTGACGAACAGGAT